GAGTTTGGCAGCCTCAATAGAGTTCAGTTCTCCTGGTTTTCCGCATATGAGTATACATCTAAAACAGTGGCTGGGGGGGAGGGAGCCAGTGCTCTCCAGCTCTGCAGGTCGGTGGTATTGTAATTTGTTGGAACATCTGTTACAGTGTGGGGTCAAACTCTCCAAACCATGTTTGATTTCCATTGTAGAAAGGAAACCATGACTTTGTTCAGCTACTGAATGAGTTTTTAACTTAACTAAAATTTTAAATTGTTTACTTGTTCTGTTCTTTAATTTCTTAAACACTGAGACAGTTTTTTTTGGGAAAATCTATATAACAACTGGAAAATTGAGGTGTTCTAAGAATTTTTGACTGGTATTGTATATAGATATATATAGTATATATCTTATTCAAAGCTTATGTAGCATTCTTCTTTCTTACATGTCACGTTAAGAAATCAAAGATGTCGACTTTAACGCCAGTGTTGTATAAATGAGAACTTGAGGACAATTATACATTCTGAATATCTTACTGTTGTGGATCGGATACATTTGTAATTGCTATCTGTTTACAATGTAGGTGATTTACTGTCATTTTCAGTGCTGTGTCAAATGCAGAACTGTATTTACTCAAAATGTAGCTTTGACTCACTTTGTTGAAGCGTTTTATTTTGCAGAGATGTCCGTAAGTTTATTGACAGCTGAAATCACTGGAACATAGAGCTGGAGGGGAAAAAAATAAATCATCATCATGGACGGAAAACAAACTGCTGCTGGCTGATGTCAGAGCTGCCAGCTGATGTGAGAGATGCCACCACTGACGACATTAACGAGAATTTATAGAAATGTGTTTTTTTTAATATTGCAAATAAGACATGCACGTATGATTTGTTATTGCAGGTCAAAAAAAAAGAAAAACTTCACTGAATTGCTTTGCTCAGCCTGAGTGAAAACATTTCTATTCAGACACTTTGCTTTGGATGAGTCATGTCTTCTTCATCACAGGATGTCCACCTGTCATTCATACGCCCTCTAGTCCCTTTGTGCTCTGGGTTATGTGCTCTATTGTGTCTAAGAAAAGAATTAAAGACACTTGCAACCACACAGACTCTGCTTTGTATTGTGTTGCTTCTTCATCTAGTTGTTTCCAGTAATTATACTGAAGTAAGTTCTTATTACTACTGTAATCATTGTTGTTGAGGTTCTACACACCGACTTCAGGCAGAATGAAATTCAAAACTACAACACATACCACCACAGTATTAAAGTATTGTGCTGCCAATACTTTTCATTTATTATTTCTAAAAACCTATGAGACTTTCAGTCCAAAGATAGTTTATCAATCATGTGAATATTAAATAGTAATCATCATTATGCCTCTGCCCTGGGGACAGCCAGTGCTGGAGGCATTATGTTTTCAGGTTGTCCGTCCGTACATGCATAGGTCCGTCCTATGTCTGTCCCGATGTTGTGAAAGTGCTATCTCAAGAGTGCCTTGAGTGAATTTCTTCAAATTTGCCACAAACAGGACTCACAGACAGATGTTGCATTACTTTATCACAGTAACCATATGGGGATATTGCTGACCATATTTTTGTTCAATCTGATGACCTCTTGTTCTGTTGTTATGTCACATGCTATGTTTATATTTTACATGAAAATACATTTAATTCTGCTGTTAATTTTGCCTGAGGATGAATTACAACACAATTGAACTTGATCTCAAACATATTTCAAGAAATAGCTCAACTGTGAGAACAAAAACAGTGTTGTCAAAAGCCAAAGTTACCTGAGCACAGTGTGGTTTATTTAGTTTTAATTGTGTGGATCGTCGTGTCACACTGATAACACACTGTGTGTCTGTAACTGACCTATGAAGATAAGAGTCAGTGGTCGACGTGTCGCACCATGATTCCTCCTTCTGTTCCATTTTCCAGTGAAATGTTCCAGTAGAGCCGGGCTCCATGTGTCCTGACCCATGAAGATAAATTATTCAAATTAAGCTGCGCAGACAACATCCGCCCATCAGGAGGCAAGACTCATTAATTCACCCTTTTAAAATTTGAATAATATAATGTTAATGGAGTCCCAGATTGGTCTATGCATGAGGAGGCATGTAGAGATGAAGCCAGAGTTTTACTGAGGTAACTGTGCTGACCTCTAAGGGGTCATGTAAAATGCTTTAACACACTAGAGGAGCAGACTGCATTCATCAATTTCACAGTGACACCTTTTGAAACTGAGCCATCAGTCATGTGAACTGATCAGGAGCCTCATTTATAAAACAGTGCATGGGATTCATACTAAAAGTCGACATGCACAAGGACATAAATGGCATATGCATGCACACATACAATCGCAGTAAATGTTCCCTTTGTAAATCACATCCCCTCCGGAAACATTTAACCACAAAATTCTCCTCTGCAAAGGTTTTATTTTCCTATGCCTGGCCTTAAAATTGAAACTGTCTCAATAACTGACGGTGTATTTTTTACTAATTGGTTTTTAGCTCTTTGGAACAAACGTACGAGTAGCCGAGGGCCAGGCTTTGTTGTTTGGATACACTTTAATCCCATTTCACGTTCTATCCTCCTGACTGCCAAAATTATACCTGCTATCTTTCTGATCTGGAGAGGTGTGGTTCCCAGTGATGAAATCCTCTCCAATGTTCTACCTGAGTGTGATAAGAGTGATAAAGAGAAGACGGGGCCTCAGGCTGGAAAACATCAGAGGCAGGAGATTTGTGGGGGCTGGTGCAATCCTGTCCCTGCGTTTGATAGAGGAGCAGGAGAACAGGAGTGGATTTTGAGGTCTATAGGGGGAGTATGGGAGCTTTAACTTTTCCCGGCTCTCATACCCTCAGGTTGAGGTTTGAGCCACGAGAGAGATTTATAAATCTGGGAAAGAATCCAACCAATCTAGTGAGAGTTATTTGTGCTTCATTAAAAAATATATATATATATTTATATATATATATACGTTTTTTTTTTAATAAAACACACATCCTTGTCTGTTTTTAATTTGTATCAACTGACCCATAATTAAATTAAACATTAATGTTTTGATTTTAACAATTGACTGAAATGTTTTTCGTGAGGTTCCTGAATTGAATCACAACTCAAACAGAGTGCAGTGGTGTATGAACAGGTTGCAGGGGATTTCATCAGTGAGATACATGCAGGAGACAACCTGTCAGAATGAATGAGAGCTTGTGATCTGGAGTTGTTGTTGCATTGGGAAGAAAATGTTGATCGTCTCATGAACCTAATGTGCAGAGCTCTTGCATACGCTGTACCATTTTTTGAAATATTGTCAATACATTTCAGCTCACACGGTTAATAAACGGAAAGTTTAAGCTCACGATTGATGTGCTCACACTTAATGGTCCAATCATCAAGCCCCGACCTGTCTGCTCTCACTGTAACTGTTGGCCACTCCTGGACGGGTCTGGCTAATGTCAAATAAGAATAAGTCAGAGAGTGTTGTGCTTCCACAATGCTAACCAGGGAAAACCCACTGTCTAGACCTCATGTGCCATTCTGTGGGCCAAGGTGTCAAAAATAGAGGCACATTAGACATTTCTCTCCTGTGTGTCAGTCATAACAGGAGGAGAAAACATTGCACAGCCAGGTCTGGTGTTACGACAGCTCGACCAGCCTGGCCTCCATGTGTTCTGTCCATATGAGGCAGCATGTCACCTGCTTTCACTTTCTCAGTGTTTTGTTTTGGTCCAAGTGCTATGAGATATATCAAGGTTCCAATCGTACGGTGAATGCCCTGCGTTAGCTTCGGTCATAGCTCCACTTAGCTGCTCAGAAACTGCCACTGTTTCTGTGCGTTTAATAGTGAAAATATTTGTCACACATAACTGGTGAACATCATTCTGAGGGAATAAACACAACATTGATTAATTGCGTTCTTAATCTGTGCAGCTGTCTAAGAGAAATAACCTTTTTATGCAATAACTTTTTTATGCCCATATTACCTGCATGAGTTGATTTCTGTCCATTCACAGTTTCTAACACTCTGAGGTTATGTTTTACCCCATGTTGGTTAGTTTGTCAGCAGGATTATGCAAGAAATACTGAACAGATTTCCCTGACACTTGGTGGAAGGATAGGAAATAGGCAAAAAAGAACACATTTTAGTGGGGAACAATACAAAGGGATGGATCCATACAGGAATTTTAAAATGAGCTCTTCTTTAACATTACAAGATAAGAAGTTTTTTGACATATTCATCAATTTACCAAGGAATATTTTATGGATCTTAATGGGAAAAAAGGGGGGAATGATAACTATTTGTTCAATTTGTTGCATTTCCAAATATAAATCCAGATCTAGGGGATTTCAATGTTCTTTCATTCAAGGACTGTTTGGCCTTGTGGCGGACGAGTGCCGCTCTAATTTTGTAAATGTTGAAAGTGTTATAACTGTTATTATCTCATGTTAACAAGCCAGAGATGAGAAATGTGGCTTATGAAATGCAGGGATGAGTCTTGCATACAAATTGACCACAAAGTACTTAATTTTTTTTAATCCTCATTATGTCCATAATGACACCGTAGTGATGCATTTTTGGCCCCTTGCTGCGAAACCTTCTTTGTTCTGTCTTTTAAATGTGTATAATCATGCATAAATGCACTAAATGTATAATATATTGTGAAATATGTACATACATAAATCAAAGATACAGTATTTTTGCATTAGTAGCTGAAGGTCTGTCTATAAGCTTGCCTGACATTGCAAGTACAATTTCTCAGCTGCCTTACTGTAAAATCCAAATTGACACAGTAGA